AATGGGGGGGGGCTGCCTGGCCTCCCCTGCAGGGCCACCCCCAGGCCCAGGGCTCCAGGGAGGGCTCGGCCAGCTCAGCAGGAGAAATATGGCCAGTTGGGGCGGGGAGGCCAAGGGGCCATGGGAGAGAAGCGAGAGGGGAAATGCCCTTCGGTTTCACAGCTTAAATTCCCCCCCATACCTCTCTCTCCACAGGAGGCAAGGGAGGGACTGGGGTTGTGTCCATGGTCAGGAGGTCAGGGAGGGGAAGCATGGCAGGGGAGGGGCCACAGCCATCACCCACCCCTTCTGTCCCCGGGGTGGCTGGCCCCGTCGGCCATGGCATCCCCTCCATGCTGTCCAGGCTGCTGGGGGCTGAGGGTCGGGCTGTCCTCTGACCTCAGTCCTAGGGTCGGCCCCCGGGTAACCGCCGAACACTCCAGAACTTCACCGTCAGGTCACTGGAGAGGACAGACAGCGAGCGGCTGGTCAGCCCCTGACGTGGGCCCAGCTGGCCACCCCCAGGTGCCCTCAATTCCCCAGGTGTGGCCGGGGCCCAGGGGCCAGCACTGTGGAGAACAAGGCGGAGGGTGCTGGGCGGAGGGAGGGGCCCACGTTTCCTCACAGTGGGTTTTCTCTACCGCTGTTTGGTTTCGTCCAGCCCTGAACGCCCCACCTGCCGCCTGCTGCCTGGGCCCCTCTCCCGGGGTCCGTCCCACTGGTCATGCTCGGAAAAGAGGCAGGAGCAGAGGAACAGTCTCGTACCGTAGAGAAGCAGCTCAGATCGAAGTGGAGAGAGAGGGGAGAGGGGGGGAGAGAGGAGGCGGGGGTCAGGGCAGGGTGGTGGCTCGGCCCTTAATGGCCAGGACTCGGCGAGGAAGGCAGGGGGTGAGTCCAGGGACGTAATTCCACAGCTTCACCCGGCAGTCACTGTGGGGGGAGAGAGGCGGAGAGCAGGGGAGAGGGGAGCGGGGAGGAGGGAGAAGGGACACGTTCGGAAGACGGAAAGAGAAACCTCTGTGAGTAGCTCCCCCCGGACAGGAGCCGGAGCTGGGTCTGGGGGCCGGCTGGGCTGAGCTGTGACGGAAGATACCTGGACGGGTGTGAGGACGGCGGGGTGGGCGGGGACAGCTGTGTGCTGGACTGGTGACGGTGGGCGAGTCCTGGCCCGGGGCCCTGCCCCTGGGCCCTCCCAGCCTGCTGCCCCCACAGGGAGAGGGTGGGGAACCCGCGCAGGCTGCTCCGCCCTCGCCCACCTGGAGGCGGTGAAGATGTGCCTGGTGTTGGTGCAGATGGCGTTGATGGGGCTGTCGTGGCCCTTGATCTCGCCAATGGGCGTGAAGTTGTCCACGTTCCAGACCTTGATGACGCCGGCACGGCAGGCGCTCAGCAGCATGGGGCGGCCCGGGACAAAGGCCAGAGCGCACACCCAGTCCTTGTGCGCGTTGGGGATTTGCTGCGGGAGGGGCGGGCGAGTCAGGGCCGCGGCAGGTGACACGGGCACGCAGCAGCCTCCCCTCTGCCTGCCGTGCTGGGACTTCAGGGCCCAGAGACGGATCTTCCCACTGTCCTGGGCTCAGGCCTGAGACCCAGCCCTGGAGGAGCTTCGGCGCTCGGAGGGTCAGAGAAAATCGGGAGGGGACAGGG